GCTTAGTGTATATTTTGTTTATGTTTTTCTTAGTTCATATCTTAGATGTTATTGCTGTTTTTTCTTATACATTTTATTGTTGGATGTAACTGGGACCTTGTGTACATAATTTCGCTCCACCACATGTACCACAAGAGGTGCGAATGACAATAAAGAAACTCTGACTCTGACTCTGACTCTTACTCTGACTAAGCATGCACCACACTCATGGAGACAAACCAAAAGAGAAGGTGGCCTTACAAAGGATTGACGTTTTTGAGTGGGGTCTTGTAATGCATGCTCATATTTTCCATTTAAATTAAAAAAAAAAATTAATTCCAGTTTTTAAGGCAACAAAACACAAAGGGGGTGAATACTTCTCCAAGCCACTGTAGTTATTATAGGTTGAACTTTATGGGCTAAGAAAAAGTAAAAATCTCTTTTATGACCTTTATTTTTCCACCAGAGTGCAGCTTTAATGTTATGAACAGGCACATCAACAGTAACCTAACTTCTTCTATTTTCGGTTTCTTCATTGAATTAATTTCTTTGTTGTTGCTCAGACACCACCAAGTCTCCAGGCTCAGTCAGTCGGACCAATCAGCACCGAATCGCAGCCTTGGAGCGGCAGCTGAACATCGAGCTGAAGGTCAAGCAGGGAGCGGAGAACATGATCCCAATCTATGCCAATGGTGGAACCAAGGTCAGTCACTGACACACACCCTCAGCCGTAAGTCAGACACACGTTCTTCTTGTGCACTTTTAAATGTTCTGTTTTTAAAATGCTTGGCAGGACAAGAAGCTCCTTCAGACGGCTCAGCAGATGCTGCAGGACAGCAAGACAAAGATCGACATCATCCGCATGCAGATCCGAAAGGCCATGCAGGCGGACGACAATCAAAGTATCTGCTTTTTGTTTTATCCTCTTTCCTCCCACCTGTCGACCTTTGAGCTCACCAACGCTGCATATTTGATGATGTAATCGATCCGCTCTCCCTTTAGAACTTCACAGCGTAAAGTCGTCCAGTGTCAAGCTCGCACACTCACATGCGCGCTGTCCATTACTGCCCTCACTTATTGATGTTCCTGCATCCCCTTGATGTTGGCCAACAGCTAAAAGCCATGCCTTGTTTAGCAGAAGTGGGGGCTGGAAGGACAGAGAGAGAACAAACACGGGGCGGACACACAAATATGATCAGAAGAGTTCGGCTGATTCTATATTTCTACATCTGTGATTTAAAAAAAACCTGCATGAAAGAATTTAAATGTGAAACACGTGATAAATAAAAACAAATCAGCATTGTTTTATTTACCAGCTGAACTTCCTGGTTTTTAAACGTACTTCTAAATGAAGGAATGCATATCACCCGCTGCCGTTCATTCCACCGTGTTCAAACTAAGATCTGTTGCTGACATGATGCCGTTTGAGTTCAATCTTTAATCCAACGTTATCTCCAGTGATGTTAGCTCATAGAGTATGTGTTGAGGAGGCCTCTCAGCTACCACCACATGAAATTGAAGGTCAGTGTCTTAAAACAGACTGAGTAAAAAACATTTCAGGTTGATTGACTGTGGCAGCCATCTTGAATCAGGCTGACTCCAAAAGTTAGTCAGTTGTGTGCATCCAAAATATAAATGCAGTAGTCCCTCGCTACTTTCATTCAACCTTTATTTATACAGGTTAATCCCATTGAGCCTTACTTATCGGTTCATTTATCATAGACTCGCTTTATCGCGGTTTTTCAAAATAAGACTAGGACATGAGACACAATTGGCTGATTGATGGATGAGCTGCACGATCGGCATGGCATTTTTTCATAAAATGAATTATTTTAAATTATTTAGCACTTCCTGCACATCTGTGCAGCCCACACTGCAGGATAAACTTCCTGCTGCAGCTGCTCATCTGTTCACAGTATAGAGCAGAGAAGTGGGCGTGGCCAAGAGCGCTTGCAGGTGGCTGAGAGCAGCGGAGGCAGGGAGCTGAAATCATGACATTCTGTGCTCTTTTAGAGTGTTTAGAAACATTGTTTAGAACATTGCAATAGTGTGGGAAAGGTTTAAAACACCTTTATATCTTTCTGTATATATATATATATATATATATATACTAAAATAAACTACTACTTACTATTTGTACTACTATTTCTACTTCGCGGTTTTTCCCTTATCACGGTACGGCTCCCCTGCGATAAACGAGGGAATACTGTATATATGTTTTAAATTGGGCCCCTGATTCATGAGATATTTTGCTAACAGACTCGCACAGACAAGCTTTTTGATGATAAATAGGTTTTAAACAGCTTTTTATTTTCACATAAAGTGGCGAGTGGGAGCAAAATGATTAATGTTGTATTTCTAAACAATTCTTTAAAATGTATAAATACGTGCAGGGTTTTTTTATCAGCTAGTTTTGAGCTTGTCCTGTTCTTTTCCTCTCATCCAAATAGAACTCATCTGAAAATTATCTCTGTCTTTAAAGTTACAGTGATTAGAAACTATTGTAAAATATGGATTTACTTTTCGGTTTTAATTCATATTCAGCTACACTGCATTCATCGTCACCAACAACTCTTCCAGCTCAGCACCAAAGGCCACTGAGGAAACTCTGGTAGCATGAAATAATAAATAACGACACATTTTATTGTAACAATATTGATTGGATTAAAGCTAATGTTGTGATATTTTGACATTGGCTGCAAAAAAACAAGTCTTTAATAAAATCATCACGTCTTACCTCACTTGTCCAAATGAGATTCTGGCTGCTGCTAACATTTATTTATTTTTGTCCATCCTGGGCTTCTGTAGAAACTTAGCTTTACAACAGATTGTCTGTTTGCACAGGGTACTTAAAAATATATATATGTGATAATATGGTGTTTAATGTACAAAGTATAATTCAAAACAGCCATTACCCCAGCATGCACTCAGTTTCCTCCTCCAGCCACATTTGAGCTTTAAAATCCTTTATTAGTTTATTTTTAGTACTTTTTGCACCTTTTGTTTTCTTGTTTCTGCAGCCAGATATCCTCCCTGCATGTTGCTCCTGTTGGCCATATGTTGTTGACTAAACCTCACACCTTTAGGCCCAGGTAATCCGGATCTGTGTGGGGTGGAGCTGCGCGTGGAGGAACTTTGGCATCACTACCGCGTGGAGCACGCCATGGCTGAGGGAGCCAAGAACATGCTGCGACTGCTGGGCGCGGGGAAGGTCCAGGACAAGAAGGCCATCGCCGAGGTCAGACGAGTCTGTCTCAAATGAAGATGCATTAAACATCTTTGATTCTTCTCTTTCGCTCTTTATCAAAAAGACTTGATAACTAAAATTGAACCAAATTATCAAAACTAATGAGTTTGATCACCAAGTTGATGGTAACGCCTTGTCTGTGCAGGCTCAGTGTGGTCTGAGTGAGTCATCCCAGCGTCTGGACCTGATCCGGTGCTCTCTGGAGCAGAGGCTACAGGAGCTGCCGGAGGATCATCCCAAGGCCTGTCTGATCAAAGAGGAGCTGGTTCTGGCCTCCTCCTCGGCTTTCAGCGCCCGCCACAGCACGCCGTATGTCCACAACCAGTACAGCACACTGAGCAAACCATCACCGCTCACAGGTACAAGATGGCTCCGGTTAGACTGATTTATCATCATTTCTGTTTTTTAAGTATTTGTCTTTTTCCAGGTACACTCCAGGTTCGTCTCCTCGGCTGTGTGGGTCTGCTGGAGGTCGTTCCAGGACGGAGCAGAGGGACCCCCGTGGTTCTTCCTGCTTTCTCTCCAGCAGACGGGCGCTCCTTCAAACTGACCAATCGCTATGGCCGCAGCCCCAGCAGCATGAGCCTCAAGATCCCCTTCAAGACCGACGAGCTGACCCGTAAGACTCCCTGCTGTTTGCCTTCAGATGGCCTTTAGTGGTCATGCTTTGAGACTGGATTGTAATTTAAAAAAATCCAACATAACGGAGCGAGTACAAAGATATAACACACACGCACACACACACATTGGTTTTTCTATTATTAATAGCATTGTATTGACTTCCATTCATTACTGTACTCTCGTCTGTATTGCACGCCGCTAGCTTAGCGATATGCCAGTTGTTGATCAGGGTTGGGGTGGGTTAGGATGCATGAGAGAAACGGAGCATGCTCTGTTCACACAAGGAGAGCTGTTGGTCAGGTTACTTCTTGTTGTGCTGCTCTCTCTAAAATAGTTATTGAATCAAGTGTTTACTTATGTTGGTAAATGTAGATGATTACCAACCTGTTAAAATACACCAGAATGCAGGAAATGGCATCTACTTTATTAAAAATGTTATGGGGGGGGGGACCCCCAGACACCTCCCACCAGTGTGCGCCCCCCCCCCCCCCAATTTCAAATGCTTCTGACGCCAGTGCCCGTCTCTACTTTATAAGGAACCATTACCAGTTCATTCCTAACTTGTTTTGTTTTTTGTTTATTGTTTATTTGTCATACGCAGATTAACACAAGGTCAACAATGCGATGAAATGTTCAGGATGAGAAGAAAAGATTCGACTCACTAAAAAAAAAAAAAAAGAAATACTAAATCATGCAATAAAAGGTACAAGATAAAGTACCAAAAAGTGAAAAAGAAATTTGATATTTAAATGGTCCAAAAGAAATATAATAAACGAACCCTAAATCCCTAATACAAAAATTATGTTCCATCATTAGAACTGGGCTTTGATCCTCATAAGGACTACTGGTGAAGTAAAGGTCCTAAAACAGGTAACAAAAACTAAGAGCACAGAGAGACAACTGAAATACTCGGATTAATTTGTCTTAAAGAGAGGACAACTTAAACGTTTGTCCAATTTGAAACTGACCAATTTTTGTTATAATGTACTCTCACCTAGTCCTTCTAGTACAGTTCAGTTTGAGCCCAAAATGTCGTAATTATTTTAATTCAGTGTTTAGGATTTTTTAAAGCTATTTTGTTCAACAAATTAAAATTATGTATCAAAGGAAAACTCATAGGGTATTGACGAGCTAATGTCTCGTCTCTGTGAAAACTCTTCCACGTTTATTTTTGTTTTCCTAAAACGCCAATCTTCAGAATTTAAATACCATTTCATCGTTGTCCGTTTCATACAACATGGTTATTTTGGAGGAGATGATGTATTGTTGCAAAAGGTGCTACAGCTAGCTGCTGCCGCCACTATATCTATATGGAATAACAAATTTCTCATGTATGGCAATATTGACGGTGATGTAAAGGTTTGAACGTGAGCTGCCATGAAATTCTGGAGATCAGAGTTGATTTAAGACAACAGCAATCCTCTTTGGTTTGGGCCTCGCTCTGACTAGCCGTTAGCTCATCAGTGCAATCAGAATTCAACTACCGTAATTTCCGGATTATTGAGCACAACTGAATATAAGTTGCACCCACTAAATAAGTTTTTTTTTAAAAGTACATATATAAGTCATGATTGTGTATAAGTCCTGGGTGTCCATGTTGTAACGAGATATTTACACAGAAAGATTTAGAGTAACATTCACAAATAAGTAAAACAGTAAATGTTTTGTTTAACAGTGCCTGAAACATGGCTGGTTCAAAAATAAAGTAAAATACAGTACCCTACCAGGACGTCATTGATCACTACCTTCATCTTCTTCCTGTGCTCTAAAACCACTAAAGTCTTCTTCAGTGTCAGAATTGAACAGAAAAACTTCACACACGTCCTCAGTCTCTTTCGTTGTCGCTGTCAACGGCACTTTCGTCTCGAGGCAAATTCCAGATTTGATTTACGATTCAAACTTATTTCGAGTGGCTGCAAATACTTTGTTGTGTACAACGAGGGGGGAACTCACACAGGGAGGGGGAGAGGAGGAGAGAACGGGGAGGAGAGTTTCCCCTCCTCCCCAGTGGACCAGTGAAACCAAGTTTTATTGATCCACTGTGACCTGTTTGATCATTTCATTGGTCACTTTTATTTTTTAATTTTTTTAAACCTTTATTTATACAGGTGGTCTCATTGAGTCATGAGGACCCACTCCCCAAGAAAGACAAGTATTGGGCAGCTATGTGAGCGCCTGGGTGTGACGAGGCTAAATGTTTTTGCATCATGAAGCTCGTTAGCCCGTCAAAAAATAAATTAAAAAAATCCATAAATTAGCTGCAGCGTTGTTTAAACTGCGGGTTCAAATCGTGTGGAAAAAAGTAGCGGTTTATAGTTCAGAAATGATCCAAACTGAGGTCATTCAAAGAGCTATCTACAACAGGTAAGATGTTAATTAGTCATAACTTTTTCACAGAACCCCACTTCAAAATGTTCTTCCAGCTTTGAAACAGTTTTATCGGACTCGGTTTGTTCCTCCAGCCACGATCGTCTCCTTCATGCTCACAATGTGGTTCAAGCAGCTGCGGGAGTCGTGTTTGTGTTGCTGTTTGACAGTGGAGGTGTGCACAGTGCTGAAGCTGGAGAACACCGTGGTGGGACAGACCGCCTGGAGAACAGTAGGAGAACAGGCCTGGGACCAAACCTTCACCGTGGAGCTGGAGCGGGTAAGACACGACACACTCTGAGAAACTAAAACCCCGAGTAAACAACCGACTCCATGTTTAAGACGAAGATGTTAAGCTAAAGTTCTGGACAGAGCTGCAGTTTTAAACGTCATCAAAGTGAGTTTGTAAATGTTTAAGTGATGTTCCTGCCGTGTGTTGGCTTCAGTCCCGGGAGATGGAGATCGCCGTGTACTGGAGAGATTACCGCTCCCTGTGCGCCCTGAAGTACCTGAAGCTGGAGGAGTTCCTGGACAACCAAAGACATCAGGTCCAGCTGGAACTGGAGCCGCAGGGGCTGCTCCTGGCTGAGGTACTGAACTCAGTGGATACAGAGTATTAATACACACATTACAGGGTAAAAGTTTAATTTCACCTTTTATTTTAAGTACTTTGCATCCAAATAGTCAAAGTCATCCTGATCAGTACTTCAGGCTTTCTGAAGGTCCTGCACAGTCTTTCTTTAGACTTTGGCTACTTTTCCTTTGATGTTTTTGTCCAGTTCTTGTATTTGACCGTGGCACCATATTGAGCTGTGTCTGATTATAAAAGGAGAAGTCCATCCGTCCTCTCAAGGTGTTCCCAGACATTCATGAGGCAGTTCCACAAAATGGCCGCACAGACCAGTCTGTCTTTGTGCTCCCTCTAGCCCTTCATAAATCAGCGATGAAGCCGGCCACGTCCCGCTCACATATACTTTGTAAATGAAGTGGGCCGAGCAGAACTCCACTGGACTGAATCAGAGCATTAAATGTCATTTACTAAACTTAATGAATTAACTCACTGTAGAGATCCCGTTTGTGGTTTAAACTAACTATAATGTTGCTGTGCATCATCATCATCAATATTCCCTGATAATCTGTTGATGTTTAATCCAGAAGCAGGTGGTCACAACTAATGGCATGAGTTCATCACATGACTGAGCCGCAGCTCCACAGGTTGTTTTTTCCTTCACATGTCAGCCAGCCCGGCACTGTTACGACCTCGATTGGAGGCAAAGAGGCACATCAGAGGTGGGCTGTCTCAGCCCCCCTCGCTGCCTCGGTGTGTCTTCTGAATTGGACCGGGCAGCCAGAACACGTCGCAGCCTCTGACTGAGGCATCTTGAGAATTAGTCTTAAATAACTCAGAGTCTAGAGAGTTCTGGGATGGACTAAAACACCTTCATGTAGCAGCACTCGGTAGGTGTCATCCTGATCAGATGCCCAGACCACCTCAGGTGACTATTTTAATTCAGAGAGGCAGCAGCTCCACTCTGCGGTCCCCCCTGGATGATGAAGCTCCTCACCTAAGCCAAGCCCCAGCACCCACCAGGTGCTCCCCAATGAGCTCTCACCCCAGGCCTGGCTTGAGGGGGGTGCCCAGGTTTCTTTGTTTGGCCAAGGTTTTCTGTTGAAACACATTAAGGTGGCAATTGACACGACTCCATCTGTCATTCAGTCCAGTAGGCTTGTCAGCAACTGACCAACTAGCTATCATAATTTAAAATAAGATAAGAACTTTATTGAACCTGCAGGAAATTGTTGTGCCAGAGTTTCAGTACAAAGGAACATACACAAGGGATCACATAAGATATAAAAAATAACAGAATCTACGACTGAAGGTTTGTGGTTAGAGTCCAGGGTGTCATGCAGGAGGTGTGACGTGTTGTTCAGGATCTGGATCAGTTTCCTCAGCATCCTCTGCTCAGACACCTCTGTCAGAGACTGCAGGTCACTCCCAGAACCGAGCCAGCTCTCGATGAGTTTATCAAATCTGTTGGCATCAGCTGTTTTCATCCTGCTGCCACAGCACACCACAGCGTAGAAGAAGATGCTGGAGACCACCAAGTGGTAAAAACATGTATTACCCTGAGCGTTTAAAGGATGGAATACAGTTTATTCCATTTCCAAAACCTCAACCGAGTCTGGAAAAATGTAATGGATAAAGGCGGGTGTGCGGCCTCTTGAGCAGCTGAACACAACAGCGATGAACAGGAAGTACCACTTGTTCGTCTGTAACCGATTTTAGCTGACTTTTAAAAAAAAGATTTTGTACAAGTGTTTATTAAGTTGTGTACAGTAGTCCCTCGTTTATCGCGGGAGATTCGTACCTTGTAGCCCCGCGATAAGTGAAAAACCGCAAAGTAGGACTAGTAGTACAAGTAGTAGTTTATTTTATACAGTATATATTTATTAAAGTGGTTTAAACTCTTCCTACACACTTGCAATATTCTAAACAATGTTTCTAAACTCTAAAGCTCTAAAAGAGAACAGCACGTCATGATTTCAGCTCTCTGCCTCCTTTGATCTTTGCCACCTGCAAGCGCTCTTGGCCACGCCCCCTTCTCCGCTCCGCACGGAGATCAGCTGATCAGCTGCAGCAGGAAGTTTATCCTGCAGTGTGGGCTGCACAAAGGTGCAGTAAGTGCTAAATAATTTATTTTAAATAAAAATTTCATGCCGATCGTGCGGCTCATCCATCAATCAGCCATTTGTGTGTCATGTCCAATCTTATTTTGAAAAACTGCGATAAACGAACTGCGAAGTAGCGAGGGACTACTGTAATGTAAAGTTTACACTCTTACATACTGAACTTAACTTTGAATTATTGCCCTGTGGCATGAAAACATCTACTTCAGGAACTATTTTGTTATTAGTAGCTTTGAATTTTTTCTCCAGTCTTCTTTTCCTTAATGTTGGCTGAAAAGGCAGAAATGCTTCACTAAATGTCTCAGGTAATGTTGTGAGCTTCTCTACCTCCACCATTACAGTGATCTTGTTTGTTTGTCGGAGGTTATCTCACCCTAGGTTACATTTCCACGTGGATGAAGCGATCTTACCGTTCGTGTCATGTTAATTCTGGAGAAGTTGAAAGTGGACAAGTGGACGACAAAACGAGTGTCAGGATGACTATCCAAGAAAATAAATGAAAAAAATCCGGAAAAGACCTCAGAGTTTTCATCTTTCATTTGATCGTTGACTCAATGCCATGTTTCCAGCTAACAGCTGTTTAGGAACCACTTTATTGTTGCTAAAATGCTGCGATATATGTCAAAGTGTGTTGTCGTTGGAGGTTTTATAGATTCAACCAAAGAAATGGGAACAAATGGTGTTTCTGTGACAGACTGCTGATAACAAAGTCCCTGGTTAATATGAATTTATTTTGAAATTGCTGTTCTGACACAACATTAGTTCATGGTCTGAGTTTAAAATTTTGTGTCTGAATGATTCATGTTTAGAGGCGAGGTAGCTTAACAAAAAAATGATTACGTACTGAACGGTAAATGAGTGAAAACGCAGCCAAGATCTTCATAATTATTGATCAGGAGCACTTTAAATGATAAAGTCTGGCTGCTTGGAAGGAAAATACAAGAAATGAGATGAGCCATGACTTTTGCACAGTACACTGAGTTTATATTTAAAACATGACGAAATGTCTCTTTGCAAGGGTGGTAATATGTAAATGTTTCTGTGCTAGGTGACCTTCTTCAACCCCGTGATCGAGAGAGGTCGTAGACTCCAGAGGCAGAAGAAGGTCTTCTCTAAACAACACGGTACGTTCTTGTGAGCTCACTGAAACCCAACCTTTGTGTTGAGGGTTCAAATCCAGGCCTTGAATGTGCGTCAGTGCTGCGTTACAGCTGTTACAGCGCCATCTACTGGTAGGAAAGGAGCAGCACTTTAAACAAGTCAACTTTATTTATAGAGCACATTTAAAACAGAAGCTGTCATCAAAGAGCTTAACAAGAACATCAATGAGAGTAAAATTAATGGAAAAAATAACACACTTATGATAATACAGAAAAAATTAATTAATTGGGCCTGGGACACCAAATTAAAACTAAATGTACGTGTTATAGCAAATAAAATAAACCAGAATTATCCCTTACACAAGTATTTGTGGAGTTTATTTGATTTAAATTCTTCACAACCTGATTAAAGCAGTTTATCAACAACTTTAAAGTTAGTTTTGTCAAATTCATCAATTGTTTGCGTCTTCAGTGTGTAAACCCAAACGTGTGTGTGTGCGTTCAGGTAAAGCTTTCCTGCGTGCCCGTCAGATGAACGTAGACATCGCCACCTGGGTCCGCCTGCTGAGGAACGCCATCCCCAGTGGAAGCAACACGCCCGCGTACACGCCCAGCTTCTCCGGCAGCACACCCACAAACACCGCAGGGTGAGTAAATTATTTACCTGAAGTTTAAAGAATTAAATTTAATAGTTGCATAAAGGAACGCACATCACCCGCCGTCCTGCGCGCCAAAGATTTAAACGACGCCACCTGTTAGCGCTCAGAGTATGTGTTGGGGATGACTCTCAGCTACTACCACCTTCATTATCTGTAAGACTGGCTCTTACAGCCATCTTTATGTTTAATCAAATTGATCAGCTGTGGCGGCCATCTTGTTCGCTCTGTTAATCAGTTGTAGAAGTGCATTCAATGATTACTTTCTGAGAATTTATTTTAAATCCATTTCCTGGTTCATGAGATACAAAATATTTTGCTAACAAACAAATGAACACACAGACACAAGCAGTTACACGATCGCCCATCTTTCATGCCGGATGTGATTTTCCTAAACTTGAACATGTTTATGGGTCAAATTAAACCAGCTTACAATGTAACTACTGAAAAAAAGCTACTCTAAAAACTAGAAATCATTAATTCCACCATCTTTTCTGATGAACGCAGCTCAGTGTTTTCATCTCTGCCTTTTCTACTGCTACGTTACAACACAGACTTGATTTAGCTTTAGCGACATCGTTTAGCCACTTTGAAGTGAGGTTCTGTCAAAGTTATCAGTATCTTACCTGTTGTAGATAGCCTCCTTTTCTTCTGATTTGATGGACGTGCTGACACAAAGTCCAAATGATGCAAAGTCCAAAACAGAACTTGAAATGGCTCCAACCTCTAAGATATCCTAGTGGTTCATGTAAATACTGTTTTAACCCTTTCCTCCTCCGTCAGTTTCACATTACAGAGTTTTGTCCTCAGAAATATTTGATGTTCCTGCAGGAAGTGCTGTAGAGAAGAAATAAAGACCACAGCTGTCAAAATTTATTTATTAACAATCAAATTTACAGTCATTTATAAAGGTTCTAAAATAGTGTCACATAAATACAATAAGGTACCAAAAAAAAAGTTCCTGCTCAATAATCCAGGTATACAATCCAACAATTTTCAGTCAGGTCATCTGTATAGTTTATTTTTTTGCTGAAATGTTTCACCTTCTATCTGAACAGCTTCATCAGTCAAGGAAACACACAACAAAACTGATTCTTCCCCCAAACAGCTTACTCTAAAGTGGAACGAAGCGGTTATGTTGGTGCTAGGACCATCTTAGCACCAACATAACTGGTTTGTTCCACAAGTTTGAAAAAGTGAGTTTTAAGGTTAGATTTAAATGAGGGCAGAGAGGCAGAATTACGGATGTGCTGTGGAAGAGAGTTCCAGAGACGAGGGGCTTTGCAGGAGAAGGCTGTGGATCCCATGGTTGTTAAGCAGGCAGGAGGTGTAACAAGAGAGATGGATAGGGAGAAGCCAAGACTTCGGGCGGGTGTGTAATAGCAAAGAAGATCAGTGAGGGACAGAGTGCCAAGTTATGGAGAGTTTTGAAAATGAGGAGGAGAATCTTAAAGTTGATGCAATATTTTATGGTAACCAGTGAAGATGTTTAAGGATAGGGGTGATGTGTTCCTTCGATGTAGTTCTAGTGATGATCCGGGCAGCTGTGTTTTGAACAAGCTGAAGTTTATGGATGATTTTGAGAGGAAGATCTGAGAGGAGGGAGGTACAGTAGTCTAGTCGAAAGGTGACTAGAGCATTGATAAGGGTAGCTGTGCTGGTGGGGGTAAGAAATGAACGGAGACGGTTGATGTTCCGAAGATGAAAATATGCAGACCGAGTAATATTGACATGAGATTCAAAAGATAATGTGCTATCAAGGATGACACCTAGACTCTTAGCTGTAGGGGAGGGAGAAACTGTGGAATCATCAACTTTAATTGTGAAACTATTACATTTGGATAGGAAGTAGAATTGGTGCCAACAAGGAGGAATTCTGTTTTATTTGAGTTCAGTTTAAGAAAGTTCTGATTAAACCATAATTTGATTTCACAGAGGCAGTCTGAAAGGAAGGATGGTGGAAGGGTGGTGTTGGGCTTGGTGGAGAGGTAGAGCTGGGTGTCATCCGCATAGCAGTGAAAATTAATACCAATTTTTTTAAAGATAAGGCCAAGTGTCCCTGTGATGGACTTGCGACCCGTCCAGGGTGTACCCCGCCCCTCACACAATGATTGCCGGACATGGGCACCGGCGACCCCCGTGACCCAAAATGGAAGAAGCGGGTAAAAGATAATGGATAGATGGATGGATACTAAGTGGAAGAAGATAAATGATAAACAGGAGCGGACCAAGAACAGAACCCTGGGGTACACCTGAAGTAACTATGGAGGACTGTGACTTGAAGTTCTTTAGTTGGACAAAGTGCTGATGGTCAGAGAGATAAGATTGAAACCAATTTATAGCAATGCCAAAAAAAACAATGAAACGTAATCTATCGAGAAGAATATTGTGTGAAATGGTATCAAATGCTGCACTCAGGTCAAGGAGAATGAGAAGTGATAAAAGTCCAGCGTCGGCAGCAACCAGGAGATCATTGGTGATTTTAATCAAAGCTTTCTTGGTGCTGTGGAGGGGGCGGAAACCTGACTGAAGTTCTTCAAACAGATTATTATCAGAAAGATGACTGTGAACCTGGGCTGCAACTGTTTTTTCTAGTATTTGGAAATGAAGGGTAAGTTAGAAATTGGTCTGAAGTTATTTAAGCCAGTTGGATCAGCACCTGGATTTTTAAGAATTGGAGTTATTGCAGCAGTTTTGAGCGATGGTGGGACAAAACCAGAAGAGAGAGATAAATGAATAATCTTAGTTATTAGAGTAGATAGAGAAGGTAGACAGGCTTTAACTAAGTGTGTAGGAAGTGGATCAAGCTGACAGGTAGAAGATTTGGATTTAGAGATGAGACTGCAAACTTCTGACAGAGAAGGGAGTTGAAAACTGGAGATGGGTGTCGTAGTGGGGTTATAAGAATGAAAACCAGAGGAAGTGGATTCCAACATGGACGATTCCTGATGGATGGTTTCAATTTTAGTATTAAAAAGTCCATAAATTTACTGTAATAATCCCTGGTGTGTGATGGGAGAGTATCTGGAGGTCGTAGAATGGTGTTAATAATAGAAAACAATGTTCTGGTGTTCCCATTACTTGTGCCAATTAAATTAGCATAGCAGGCTGATTTATCCATGCAGACAGAATCCTTGTAGTGTTGTAATACATATCCAATAAACTTGGATCCATCGTCTCCTCTGGATCTAAGTTCTGACTTCTGAGGCGGAACGTTTCAGCAGCTACATGTTTATAAACATGTTTCTAAACATGTTATACATACATGTTTATATCTGCTCTGTCATACCTGACCTTTGTCTCCTGCTCTGCAGAGAAATCTCCGTGGAGAAGCTGAGTGTGGACAGCGACTCGTCACCCAAAGCCGAGGTCCACAGGGACGTGGTGGATTCTCCCTCCCCCTCGGTGAGTGAGGGTGTCTGTGAGACACAGGGCAGGAGAGGGACAGCTTGCATCAACGTAATGTAGAGAAAGAGAAGAGAGGAGTGCAATTAAAACTCAACTACCGTTGTTGTCTTTAATTTACAATAAATGTTACATGACAGAAGAACAGATATGATTATTTTAGAGCTTTTTGTGTTCTCCAGTCTTAATAATTCTGTTCATTTGTCGAGGTTATTTTGTTGAGCATCATCTGGACAAAAAGAGTCGTGGGGGTGGTGTCGGTGGCAGATGGTGCGTTCAGTGAGGCTGAAGTATTATAGGATTAATTACACTCATGTGTTTCAGACAACTAATTAACAGTCAGGATGAAGAGGGGAGGAGCTGGGAATCAGCTGTTTTTACAGGTGTGTGTGTGTGTGTGTGTGTGTGTGTGTGTTTGTGTGTGTGTGTGTGTGTGTGTTTGTCAGTCTCAGGAACAGACGCCGCTCATCGAGCCTCCATCCACACCAGATGTCTCCGCTCACGAGCAGCCAACCAAAGTGCAGTCACGAAACTCTTCACGCAGGTAAACAGACCTGCCTTTGCTCACCTACACACACACACACACACACACACACACACGCACACACACGCACACACGCGCACACACACACACACACGAGACGTCCATCTCAGGGTGAAATCAGGACACCCCCCTCCTCCCACACCTTTACTCAGACCCTCAATATGGGCCGATGCTGATCAGTAACAAGTCATGAAACCAGATCATCAGTTCCGATTCTTATTATTTTTGCTGTGTTTGCATCCCCATCCATACTTAAAGAGGTTTTTGTAACAATTGTAGCTACAGTAGTCCCTCACTAGTTCGTGGTTCGTTTTTCATGGACTCACTCTATTGTTGTTTTTCAAAAGAAGATTGGACATGACACACAATTGGCTGATTGATGGATAAGCCGCACGATCGGCATGGAATTTTGACTTAAAATAAATTATTTAAAATTATTTAGCACCTGCTGCACCCGTGTGCAGCCCACAGCTGCAGGAGAAGCTTCCTCTTGCTGCAGTGTGTCAGACCGCCGCTCTGCAGCGGAGAAGAGGG